GGGACTGCACATCCGCCACTGTCTTCCTGCAGCGCGGCCACCTGCTGCACCTGACAGCTCACCTGCTGCCCTGGGTGATTCCGGCTACACACAGGGGAGTGTGTGTGTGTGTGTGTGCAGTGCTTTGTGGGCCACAGAGAGTATCCTTTTCATGTTTATCAAGGCAGCACCTGTAGGCAGTTTAAAAAGCCAAATGCCCCTCGGGACACGCACAGGAAGCCCCGCCCCGCCTCCCACCCCAGCCCTCACTCCCCAGAAGCCACTCTTGAAGCTCGCACATCGCAAGGGTGGACTGCTGCTTCCCGGCTCTCCAACGCCAGACATTCTCCACAACTCCCTGATTCGGATGAAGAATTAGCTGGGTGACACCCTCCCCACACACAGAGCCACACGCGCTCACACACACCCGCTCCTTGTTCGCCCCATCGGGCCCGTCAAGGTTCTGTTAAAGCTGAGTCTTGCACGTGCATCATGATCGTGGAGACCCCTCCCCGCCGAGCTGGGTGCACTGGATTTCACTGCCTGTCTTGCACAAGTTTTGTATATGTTGGGGTTAATAATTGGCTTGTTTTCCCGCTCACTCAATTTCCTAAACCCATTTGAAATTCATACCCAGCGTCTCTGGCAGAGCTCTATGTCCCTCTCAACGTGGTAAAACCACATCTCTGGGAGTTGAATGGGGAACTGCGCAGGTGGACCTTCTGTCCTGCGTTCTGCGTCTCCCTCCCTTCCCGAGTTCTCCTCCCTTTATAAGTGATACAGTCTGCAGCCGCCTCCACCCGGCCTGCACCTCAACCGCCCCCTGAAACCTCCACCCACCAACACCTCCACCCACCTCCCCAAACCTCCACTGACATCCCAACATCTCCACACACCCCAACACCTCTATCCACCTCCCCAAAACTCCACTGACACCCCCAAAACTCCACCCACTCTCCACAACTCCACACACACCCCAACATCTCAACCTGCCTCCCAAAGTTCCCCCTAACCCCTAATACCTCCACCCAGCCCTTCACACCTCCACCCACCCCAACATTTCCCACCTGCACCCTAACACCTCTGCCTGCCCCCCAATAATTCCATCTGCCACCTACTACCTCCACATATACCCCAACACCTCCACTATCCCTCAAAACCTCCACCCACACCCCAACATTTCCACCCGCCGCACTCGTACCTCCATCTGCACCTCAGACCGGCAGCTGCCGGGACGGCGCGGTTGGCCCAGGGTCCCGGATGCTCGGCTCTGAAACTTTCCGCCCCGTCTGTGGGGCCAGGCTTCCTTCAGCTGCTCCCGGCCAGGCGGAGCACACCAGGCTCAAGGCAGCGCTGTTCCTGGGGGACCCTGTTCTGCCCCGATGGTGGCCGTGATGGTGTGAGGACCGCACGGCCTTGGGGAGCTGGGCCTAGACTGCAGCAGGCCACGGCACTCTCTCCCTTCCTCCGGGTCCCCTCCCTCACGCCCCACCACGAAACCCTCTCCCCAGCTCGAAAGCTGCAACCGGCAAACAGGGGAAGAATGTGCCGAGAGCAGGAACCAGTCAGTGGTTAATGCGCACACCTGGGGTGGCCTGGCAGGGCAGGGAGGTCACACTGAGGCAGGAGGGGAGGGAGGGAGGCCTGGTGACTGCAGGGGGAGAGGGCGTGACTGTCGGCATCACCTCCCAGCCCCTGGATGTGGTGAATGTGGTGCCTTCTAACCCCCACGATGACAGAAGTAGGAGGTGACTTGCCCCTGGGAGGTGATGAGGTCATGAGGGTGGCACCCCCGAGAATGGGATCATCCGTGCCCTCATAAAGGAACCCCAGAGAGACCCCTCGCCCCCTCCCCCTGTGAGGCATAGTGAGAAGGGGCCCTTTGCAACTGGGAAGAGAGCCCTCAACACAACCGGCACACGAGTGTCCTGCCCCTGGACTTCCGGCCTCTGGGATTATGAGAAATAAATTCTTTGTTGTTTATAAGCCACCCTGTCTATGAGACTTTCTTACAGCAACCTAAACAGAACAAGGCATCACCACCCCTCCCCGCCTTCACTTGGGAACTGCCTCAACTGCAGCGAGGCCAGGGACCCTGGAGCAACCCATGCCTGCACCTTGCAGAACACAGGACAGGACTAGGAGAGGGACCAGAGGGATGACCAGTTATTAGGATAACCGACATTTACAGGGTATACATTAAAACAGTGGTCACAGGAGGGCAGGGGAGGAAAATGACATTAAGAATTCAGTTGTTAGATTTTAAAGCCAGTTTTCTGACTCTAAAACATCCGTTCCTGGAACTGAGGGACACTGGGAGAATCCCTGGGTGGGTTTTCCTCGCGAGACTCCCACATCCAGAGCTACTGTTAACCCAACAGCTATTTTATTTGTTTCAAAGTGTTCTCATTAGGTTTTAAAGGTGGTTTACTGCCTGGAGATGAAAGGAATGCTTGTCGGAATAATTTTTCATAGTTCCACTCTTTTATCCAGCTAGATCAATAAACTAAAGCGGGTGTTTAGAAAACGACTGCACTTTGCATGTGTGCGAGCTTCAAAAAGCAGTGGGGATGCAAAATTGTTCTAAAATTATTCACACACATTTTGCATCTAGAAATATGTGCATATTCATTTACCTTCACATCCCTGAAGTGATGCCTTGTGAAGTTCTCAGCGCTTTTCTTTCTGTTTGCTATGTCAGTGCCTCATCTCTGGAAGGTGGGACGTGGTCTTTTTGCTGCACAAAGCAGGCGAGATTCCTCAGATTCCCTCGTCCTCCCATCAGGAATCCTCTGCAATTGCAAGACTGGCCCTGGAAGGAGCCCTTAGTCTCACAAATCCCACCCATTTGGACGCATCACACAACCGCCGTAGAGTCAGGGCGCCTAGCTCTGGGGCTTCCTCCAAACCACGGTGGGGACCCCACGAATGCCACCAGCCTTGAGCAGCCGGGCTGTGTCTTTGCTGAAATCCTGGGTCTCAAGTTTCCCACCCGGGTTAGCTGGTGTCCCCGGGGCTTTTGGAGAAGGACTCGTGCATTGGAAACATATAAACCTGGCAGGTCGACGTGGGAAGTGACAGCCCAGGCCAGTGTTGCTTCTTTGGTTCCCAAAAACTCATTTCGGCTTTGTTTTGTTCTATTTCGTAATAGCCTTTTGATGGGCTGAGCTCCTAATGAGAACAGCGACCTTCGACTAAATAAACCATTAAGCGGAGAGCTCCGGCGGCGTCCAAACAGGCATATCTTTCTAAAGTGCAGGTCATTAGCTGGTTCACAGCATCAGCTGTGACGGTGAGTTGCATTGTTTAAGTGGCCTCTAGTGATGGGTTTGTTCTGCTCTCACAGATCAGCCCTCATGCTCCCCCAGCAGGAAATGTATTGTGAAGTAAAATTATTCTGCCTGGGGAGGAAAAGAAAAATGTGCACCTTTCACCCAATACTAAAAGGTAAGTATTTGACGGGTCGTGTTTCAGTGAGAGACTGACTGGCTGCGTGTGTCTCCTTTCGCTCTAGTTTCTCACCGTTTAACCCAGGCAAAATCTGCATGTTGGAATAAAAGGGAATACAAGATTACTAAGACTTTGCATTTCAAAGTAGTTTTATGTTACTGGAATTGCTGCACTGGAAAAACATGAATGAGATTATTAAAATGTGCTAACTCAATCAGTCCAATGTAAATGGATAAAGGAGCTGACATTTAAAAGAAACAGAAAGCATATTTCCCAAACTGAACCATGCCTTTGTAATGCGGTTAATCAAGTCATAATTTTAAATCTTCCACTTTATGAATTCAAGTTTTGAAAATCTTGTTTTTCTAAAGTAGAATATACCTACCCAGCCTGGTTTGACTCTACCCCCTACTCCTGTTTTCCCTTTGAATAGACAGAAGAGAGAGAAAGAGTGCAACCTTCCATATGAAGCTCAAATTCCTCCACCATTCTCAAAGAGACTGTAATAATGCTGCTACTCAAGGACCCTTTGTGTAACATCAACAGGATCCCTAGCTGTCCCTTATCACCATCACCATCCTCATCCTCCTCATCATCAAAGTTGTTGCAATGTTTAGAAACAAGATTAGAGAATCAAATCGTGGATCTGGCTCGTTTTGGTGCATTTATTCAATTGTGAATCCAATGAACAGGCCCTCCTTAATAACTTGTGTTCATAAATTGCATTACATATTATGCAGAAATACAAAACAGGATTAATCCTCAAACTGAACTTCAGCCCACTTTGCAAAACTGGTCCTTTCTCGGGAGCCGGTCGCCTGCAGTGCTGCTGACGGCCAGCAGGTGGCACGGCCAAGGCTCACAAACTCGGAGACGGGCGGGAAACCCAAGCTGAGTTCTGGGCCTGCCCTGACATGCCCGACACCTGAGAAAGGCAAATTATGTTCTCTCCTTGTTATTTTCTTTCTAAACATATTTGACAACCCGTCTTTTATTAACATGTCTGCGTTCCGTGAGACAATCCTTTGTACCACCACGCTACGTCAGCACGAGGTATCTATCAATCACGGATTGGGATGAGACTCTACATAAGGAATATTTACGTCTTAATTGTCTCAGAAGCTTGGCATGGTAATTGCAGAACTCAAAGGTCAAAGAAATCTACTTCGTCTTTCTTATTTTTCTAGAAATCAAGATGCCAACAGCACAAAGATTGATAGAAATACATTTTCCTTGTCTCTGCTGCACATTATCCTAAATGGAAAAGATGTCAAGCTGACAGGGCGTTGTGATGTTTCCTACCTAGAGGTGACTCTGCCTTAGTGTGCCCTCTAAAAGAGACGCTAACATATGGAGAAGGAATAAGCAGAGAAGTCACAGAAGAAGTAATTACAAGGAATAGCGAATATTGGAAAAAATGTTTAACCTCACTAGCAATCAAGTACAAATAAAAACCAGTCCAGAGATGTCATGATTCACGGATCAACTTATTGCACAAATAAAAAACGTATTAATAACAAGTATAGTACTGCCCAAGAGAAGGTAAGTTGATCTGCCCTTTCCGGAGGGGAATGTAGCCAGAGGTTCAGGAGCATTAAAAATATTCATAGCCTTTGACTCACTGGCAACCTTCTTGGAACTCTAACCGAAGAAAAAGTCTGAAATCCAAAGATAAACAGACAAGATTACTCACTCCAGCAGTTTGTATAATAGTAAAACACAGGACACATCCTAAATACTGTGATAGAATAGTTAACTAAAATAGTTAACTAAATTATAAAATATTTATATATTACGTATATTTAGTCGATAAAATAATGCTTATATGTACTTTTGGAGATAAGCACCTGAAAGAACATAGGCAAGTTGTCTCTAAACAGTAGGATTAATGATATTTTTCATGCTATGCTTTGGCTGGTCTATATTTTAAAGTTTCATGCAATAAACATGCTTGTTTCAGTAGTAAGGAAAAGCATTAAAGACACTTTAAAAATATGTTTACTGAAACTATATGAATAAGAATGTATGATATTGAGTGGATAAAAGACACAAATTTTGCATACAGTATGATCTCACCTATGTAAAACAGCATACTGTACATAAAGGAGGAGATACACTGATAAGTTGAAGGTGGTTATCAATGATGGATGGGATATGGGTAATTTTACTACTTTCTCCACTTTAAGTTGTCTACAATGAGCCAACGTTACATTTAGTATCTGAAAATACTTTTTTTTTTTTTTTTTTTGAGACAGAGTCTCACTCTGTTGCCCTGGCTAGAGTTCTGTGGTGTCAGCCTAGCTCACAGTAACCTCAAACTCCTGGGATCAAGCAATCCTCCTGCCTCAGCCTCCTGAGTAGCTGGGACTACAGGCATGTGCCACCATGCCCGGCTAATTTTTTCTATATGTTTTTAGTTTCTATATGTTTTCTATTTCTATTTTTAGTAGCGACAGGGTCTCGCTCTTGCTCAGGCTGGCTTCGAACTCCTGACTCCTTGAGCGATCCTCCCGCCTTGGCCTTCCAGAGTGGCCTCACGCCTAGGATTACAGGCATGAACCACTGCGCCTGGCCTTTGCTCCCTTCTTCAGAGTCCGGGGTTCTTCTGGGGGAAGAATGTGGCCACTGGCCGCATTCGGGCTGCAATCTCCCAATCTCACTGCCTAAAAGGACAGGGACCCCCGCCCCCCAGGTGAGGTGTGCAGTGCCCTGGCTTGCTTTCTGTGCCCACCCTAGGCCGGTCTCTGAGGATGGGGGAGTGGAGGTGGTGAGGACAGGATCCTACCGGGGCTCAACTGCCGGAGTCAAACCCATCCCACCCAGTCACTGCTGTCAGGTGGCAGCCCAAGCTGTCCCATTGGCCGCGTGTTGGGGTGGTGACCCAGGGAGAGCCCGTCCCCCAGAGAAGTGGACTTTCCTTCACTAGATGGACAGAAGGAAACGTGCTTACCACATGGGACATGAGTCCTGGCTCGGACCCTTCTAGGCTGTGTGACCTTGGCCGTGTCCTCAATGCTCACACTGCCCAGTTTCCTTACACTCTATAAGTGCCTTCCAGTTCTAAAATCCTATTATTCTAGAAGGAAAGGGGACAAAGGGTTTCTTCCTTTCCTAAAACCTGTGCCAGGACATTGATCCTTCCCCAAGTTTTAGAAACTACAGAACTCGATAGTGTACTGATTGTGGAGCTGGGATATCGCTGTGCACCTTAGGAAACGTTATGTGTCGATGAGGAAGCCAAGGTCCAGACATTTCGGTGACTGCAGTGAGGCCTCGCTCCACATCATAAAAGCACCCAAGAAATGCTCAGGACCCCCACAGAGGCACGGCTTCAGGACGCTTGTCGTTAGCCAGGATGGTGAGTTCCAGTTTAACTTTTTAACTGCAATAATCAATGGCCAGATTTCTTCGTACAAGCAGCCAGGCAATGCTTGAGGAACTAAATTTATGGGTAGTAGGACGACAGTGCCAGCTTCTGTGTTAGGATGCATGCAGGTTTTGAGAGAGCTTTCTTAAGCAGAGACCAGGACAGAAAGGAGAGGTTTAGTTACTTTTCCCTGGGGAGAGGAAAAGTACCAGCAGGGAGGTGGAAAGGGAAGAATGTGCTGCCCCCAAAACCAGCCACTGGGGCTTTTTAAAGAGGGTGTAAAACGGCAGGCACAGTCGAGGAACTGCTGCATCCACTTCTTTCTTTCATCCACTCCTTTCTTTCTTGCTGGCAGGAGGCAGATAACAGAAACTGCCAGGATGTCAAAGTCTGAGGTTGGCTCTCCCGCCTTCCCTTGGAGAAGGGACAGTTGCAGGAGATGGGACTCTGTCCTCCAGGTATGGCTGAGGCCTGGGGATCACACCCTGATGTTAGCTCAGGCAAAAAAACAAAAACAAAAAAACAAAACAATTTTCAAAGTGGAAGAGGCAGGCTTGCAAAAAATAACAGGAAAATACCTAATCCTACCACGTCCCCAGTGACCGTTAAAGATCAATCCTGAGCTCTCTCACTAGCAGGCACCCTACACGAGTCCTGCTTTGCACAACTTCTGAAAAGAGCTGCATGGACAGAAAAGAGATGTACTCTTTCAAAATTGTTTTTTTTTTTTTTTTTTTGAGAATCTGCTTTTACAGAGTTTCCCAGTAAACAGCGAGAGGAGCTACAGCCTCAACCATATCTCGGGGGCAGAGTCACATCTCCTGCAATGATCCCTGCTCCAAGGAAGGGCAGAAAACCGAATCTCGGACTTTGACATCCTGCGGTTTTTGTTGTCTACCTGCTGCGGCTTTTGTTATCAACTGACAGCCATAGCTATTTTTTTTTTTCTCTTCATTCCCCTTAAAATCAGTGAGCCACCTGCCTCGATGCTGGAACCCCCTTCTCCTTCCTTGGGATGCCACGGCGTCTCCCTGCTCTCTTTCTCTCTCCCTCTCTCCTCTAAAAGGATAAAATAAATTCTTTTATTTTTATATATATTAATCTCTGTTCGAGAAATCTTCCTCCACCTGCACCGTGAGCACCCACTAGTCTCTCCGCCCAAAGAGAGAGATGTACTTCTCTTTTCAGAGGTCGTGCACAACAGAACTCCTGCAGGTGCCTGTTAGTGAGATTGCTCTTTAACCATTGCTGGGGAAATTGTGGGATTAGGTTATTTTTCTGTTATTTTTGCAAGGCCGCCCCTGCATTTGTACATGTCCTATTTTGGGGAGATCTGACTTCTTTCAGTAATAACATGTTTTAGTAACTTGATCGTGCAGCCTCATCCCAGGGCCGGGCTGCTCTAACGTGAGCGGCTGAGGCTCCGTGTGGGGAGCAACAGCGGGGACAGCGCCGCACTCAGTCTGTGCCCCCGCTGCCCGGCCCAGGTCCGGTGTGTCTCAGCACGGTTTGCTGGATGAACATCTAATGCCGATGGGAAGCAAATACACCAGGGACCGAGGGCCTTGGGCCCCTGGAAGGCAAACCTGAAGGCAGGGGGCACACGAGAGTGAACAGTGCTAGGTTGGTATAGTGGGAGCGTGAATGTGACGATGAGTGTTCACAGGAGGCAGATAATTTGGACTCACAAAAATAAAACAATGTTAGCAAGAATAAGATGGGAGCTTGAACTGATTTTGGAAGCAAAGGCGTAACATGGACAAATGATAAAAGATGTTATATGTGAAAGCAGATAGATTTAATTTAGAAAGTTATTTATTTATTTTTGAGACAGAGTCTCACTCTGTTGCCCGGGCTAGAGTGCCGTGGTGTCAGCCTAGCTCACAGCAACCTCAAACTCCTGGGCTCAAGCAATCCTCCTGCCTCAGCCTCCCGAGTAGCTGGACTACAGGCATGCGCCACCATGCCCGGCTAATTTTTTCTATATATTTTTAGCTGTTCAGCTAATTTCTTTCTGTTTTTAGTAGAGACAGGGTCTGGCTCTTGCCCAGGCTGGTCTTGAACTCCTGATCTTGAGCGATCCTCCCATCTTGGCCTCCCAGAGTACTAGGATTACAGGCGTGAGCCACCATGTTTGGCCCAGAAAGTTACTTAACATTCCCACATTCAGAAGCAATATTTTATTTGCCTTTACACAATTCCCAATGTTACTAATAGTATGCAGTAATTGTATACATGCTCCACAAAATGGAAGACCATGATACTGAAGACACCTCCTTGGGTGGGCTATGGGCGCAGGGAGGTGTGCGCTTGGTTTCACTCAGCCTCAGTGCTACCATGTGACTTTTCCCTGCTTCCCATTTGCAAAACAGCAAAGTGGGAACATAAGAAGCCTGGGGGAGTGGCCCACGCTCTGTTGTGCCCAGGAGCACTGTCTCTAGATTGATGCTTTAAACATGCCTCCAAAACATGATTGGAAGCTACAGTTTACCAGAGTAACACCAAATAACGCATATGTCACACAGCCATCATTAGCAAAAGGAACACATTCCTGTGTCATAAACCAGAACGGTGCAATTACAGTTCATTAGCGTATTTGTGCTTCATCTCAGGGTATTTAAGTGGAGTAGCAGGATCATCACAGAAGTGACGCTCTTCTTATTGTACTCTATCAGGTGGCAATTTTTATTTAACCCGTTAAACTGAAAAATGTTTACTTTGATCAATTAGGGTATTTTTTTAGGCTTTTGTACTGGAAATTATTTTTTTCCGTTATATGATTAATGAGTATTTTATAGGGATGAATTTTGAAACAATTTTGATATACTGTTTTCATAAAAATTTCAATGTATTCTTTTATTTATATTTGTATAGACACACGGTTTCCTGTTTCATTAAGTTCGCCATAATCTATTATTGTTATTTGATGCTTAACTACTCACTGCTTTGGCCAGTAGAAGCCCATTAAATCTCACTTCTGTGTCCTTTTGACAAAACTTATTACTATTTAAGTACTTCCTTGATTTTTGGAAGGAACAGAATGTTCCAGTGTCATTTTGTACTTCCCATGTCCTGAAATCAGTTATTTTTCCAAGTGATACTGGTTCCTTTTTAACAGTGGTATTTAGAAGCCAAGATCTAGGTGCTAGATGTGCTCAATACTATTGAGTTGTTGTTCACCAGGCCCTCTTCATGGACATAGAAACACACATACCACACACACACACACACACACACATACACATATAGACATTCACACATTTCCATCTATAGCTATCAACAATTATCAAAATTATGAATGAAAAAAATTGGTCAGAAATAGATCGCTAAAAAACCAAAAACTATGAATGAGATCACTCTGATTCCTTCTAGTCCAGTAACACAACACAGGGTTAATACTAGTGTTTTCCTCATGTAAGCAACTCCCCTTTCTGACAGTGAGAAACTTAGCTTCATTACTCTAATATAGTAATTGACCAATTTCCCTGTTCATAACCAATTTCCATCTTTGCTGTCACCACTTCGTCCATGCAAATATCTTTATTACCTGCTTGAGTTCTGATTCCTTGAGCCCTGCCTCCCACCCGAGTGGAGCTCTCACAGTACTTGGGTTTGGACATTCCAGTCCACCCAACCCTGGCTACTCCCACCTCGTCTCAGTAGGGCCCTGAATCTCCCTGCTGGGCCCACACCTGAGGCTGATGTCCTAGTAACCTTCCCAGGTGTGGCCCTCCATGTTGAACTGCTTCCACACATGCATGCTCTCCTCATTCTGCTCAGGAGGCTTCTTATGTCAATCTGTTAATTTGTAGGGACATACTCCTCACCTTTTGGTGTTCTGACATACCACGCTGGGCAGCACTCTCACAGGGCCTGGGCTGAAAGATGCTTGAGCTCCAACACTCTGGGCCAGCACAGATCTCTTTACCACACCAACTCAGTGCCGCCTAATGGCTTTAGGATAACACTGTTGAGGAAGGCAAAGGTAGGAAGAAAAGGGAAGTAAAGAACTCTCTCGTCACTCTGGATAGTCTCTTCTTGATTTCTTACTTTCATCTTTTACTTCCTTAAAATTTCATATATTTGCCTTTCTGACAATTTCAGTATCTGAGGTCCTTGGCAGGTCAATCTTTAGTTTGTATTTTTCTCTCACCTACCGTAGTTTCTTCCTTAGTGTGTTTTGTGATCATTGATTGTAAGGTTGATCTTACACTGTGAAAAACTTGAGAGTATAATTTGAAGAAGCACTTCCAGAATTTCCGGCTTAATTTGGGAGTGTTAGGTCCAGATTCTCTCACCTCAAAAGAAGCCCAAGAATTTGTGTCTTAGTTGTAGTGCTAATAAGGATAACGTCACCCAGGGAAACCCTCCTTTTCTTGTATGCTCACTTGCTTACTGCTCAGGTTTTGGCTCAGTTTTTGTTTCTGTATCTTTCTTGATTCCCTTGGAGACTTAAATTCCTAAAACCTAGCAATACAGTAACAACAAAAAATGTTTTCTGAAGAATTTGTTTTGTGGCAAGAGGGCCCTTAGAATTTCCAGTCCTTCATATCAACAGAAAAGGATTTTATATTTAATCTACAAAAAAAGCTAAGCTTTTAAGATATTATATTTACTAGAATATGTATGAAATTGTACTGCTCTTGAGGTCTTCTTAGGTTTCACCTTTGATGCTTGGCCAACCGTTATGCCAAGTAATGCTGTACTTGACAGCAATTCCACTTGGGAGGATTGAGAGGAAACACACTGAGCACAGACAGCATCAGGTGTTCCTTATCACAGTCCACACAGGCACCTGTACTCTTTGGTGCCTCAAATGCAACTCAGGTGGAACACAGTGAGGACACAGGCTTGGCTCGGAAGTCCTTGGCACATGGGAACCAGTATCTTTCATATTCATACCTTGAGTTTTATCTTTTAAAATGCCCACTCAGTTAAAAGAGTAACTACACTTAGGAGACACTAAAGGTATGGCTTCCAACCAGATATTTAAACATTATTCAGTCCTTTTAAGCCAGAGGCTGTGTACAAGTCAGGGGTCATTTTTACTATAAGCAATGTTGTCTGATACTACAGTTGACGCTCCTTCTTCCTCAGGTTTCCAGGGCAAGAAAGTTAACCCAAGGTGAAATTTGTCTGTAGACAAGGAAATGGGGTTTGTTAAATCTTTATCTAATTTATCAAGATCTTCAAACATTAGATGCCCAAACTCAAAAATTTCTCCGAGTGTTTGATCAAAAAAGTTTAGAGACTCTTGTTTTAGAGAAATTGTTTTAAGTGGTTTATAACTGAGATAGATGTCTTTCCTCAGGTATAAGGTATCTATGAGATTGTTTCATCTTTGTTAATTTCTTTTTTTGAGACACCCATCTCAAGATCACCACTGAAATCATTCCGGAAAACATTTTCTGAATTAGGAATGCCACCCTCCATATTTCAAAACATAATGAAAGGTGATGAGGAGTTTAAGCTATTTAAATACAGATGTAGGCTGGGCGCGGTGGCTCACGCCTGTAATCCTAGCTCTCTGGGAGGCCGAGGCGGGCGGATCGCTCGAGGTCGGGAGTTCGAAACCAGCCTGAGCAAGAGTGAGACCCCGTCTCTACTATAAATAGAAAGAAACTAATTGGCCAACTAATATATATACAAAAAATTAGCCGGGCATGGTGGCTCATGCCTGTAGTCCCAGCTACTTGGGAGGCTGAGGCAGGAGGATTGCTTGAGCCCAGGAGTTTGAGGTTGCTGTGAGCTAGGCTGACGCCACGGCACTCACTCTAGCCTAGGCAACAAAGCAAGACTCTGTCTCAAAAAAAAAAAAAATAAAAAAATAAATAAATACAGATGTATTAGTGTGTTTTCTAATGGAAACAGTTACTTGAGGAAGTTGCTTGGAAGGCTTATTCTTTTTTGGTGGTGATTTCTCACAGTTGAATAAAATGGCTATTTTAAAAAAACTTTTTGGTTTTTACTTTAGATATTATTTTTTTTCTTTTATAATTTTTATTATATCTTGGAATTCTCCTTTTAAACAAAAACACATCAGATACCTGGTCAATTGGAAAACAATTTACAAAGTTCTATTTACATGTAACTTTTCCAGAGTACACCTCTTGCACAAAGCAAGTATGCGGGTTATTCCATTCAAATAACAAGAATGTGCAATTAAATGATCAAGATAACTCTCATTGAAGTCTCTAACAATCTGTTAATTTATTTATCACAAAATGTTTATTTGGTCTTTTAAACACAGGCACCCTTAGAAGGTGTATTTTATCCATTCTTCGGACTTTACTAGGCTTTCATTACAAGTATACAGCACCCAAATCCATTTTAATAGTGTTAACATTTGCCACTAATATTGAGTTTTTAATATATATAATTTCATATAGATATACTGGAAAAATTAGAACTTCTACTTTAGATATTATTTACATTACTTGTTAATCCAGGCATGTTTACTTAATATTTTATTATGCAAAATTTCAAACATACACAAAAGTTGAATGGATTTTACAGTAAACAGTCTGTTAACTGCAGAGATTCTATCATTAATGTCTTATCAAACATGGTTGTTTGACCACATCTCCGTATGTCTATCTGTCCCCTAATCCAGCGGTCCCCAACCTTTTTGGCGCCAGGGATGGTTTCAGGAAAGGCAATTTTGGTGGGGGGGTTGTCATCGTAGATGGCAGCAAAGGGGAGTGGCTGTAAACACAGATGAGGCTGCTTTCCTGCTGGTGACCTGTTGTGCGCCCAGTTCCCAGGTGTCACGCAAGGCAATTTCTCTACGGAGGGGGAGGGGGATGGCGACGCGCGGCCTGCGGGCTGGGGACCGCAGCGCTGATCCACGGGGGGGACCGCCAGCTTCAGGCCCCTCCACGCGGACCGGTCGCTGCACTGCTGGCTTGCTTAGGGCATCTTCTTTCTGAAGCGCGAACCTCACGAAAATTCTGTCCGTAAAACCTTCCAACAGTCCTCACAGTCAGGGAGGCGTCCCGAAGTCCCCCGCCTGCCGCTCACCGCGCCGGCCCCGCGGCCCCCGCGGCGAGCACCGGAGCCCGCCGCCGCGGCCGCCTGGGGTGCGGAGGTCTCGGGGCTCGGTGAGGGGGTCGCCGTGAGGAGGACCGCGGGGCTCGGTGAGGGGGTCGCCGCGCGGAGGACCGAGGGCTCGGTGGGTGCGCGTGCGGGCGCGGCACGAGTGCGCGTGCGCGACAGCCCGACTCGGGCTCCCCGCCCGTGGAAGCACCTGGCCCTGAGCTGGGCCTCCCCCACCTCCCCTCAGCGCACCCCGCCGGAGCCCACTGACTGCAGGTCTTCTCCCCACCCGCCCCAACCTACCGCCCAGCCGCAGAACCCGGGTTCAGTGCCCGGCGCCGTCCCACTCCCACGCCCCGCGAGACACCGGCTGCCGTAAAGCCCCGCTTGGCCGACTGCTGCAAAGCGCTTTACGACGAGAACCTGGCATCCACCTACGGCCGGCAACCGCCCCCGCCCTGCTTTGAACACTTGGGTTTCGGGAGCTGCGCGGAGGCGGCCGCCGCGTGTTTGCATTCCACGCGCACCGCCCGTCCCTCGGAGGCGGCCTCGTAGGGGCAGTGCCCGCGCCCCCGCCCCGCGCCGCGCCGGCCCGCCCGCCTCCCGGCCTCCATCTTCCCAGGGCGCACCGCGGCGCGCGGGTCCGCGGCCATGTTGCGGTAGTTTGTTGTTTTCTTCCTGCGGAGGGGAAGGGGCCGCTGTGGACCGCGACGCGCCCGGCCTCGCCTCTGCATCCTCCTCGCTCCGGTCCTGGCACGCGGTCTGTCCCCGGCCGGCCATCCCCGTCCTCCGCCACCAGTCCCGGGGCCCGGACCGGGCCCGCCGGCCCCCCAGCTGGCTTGGTGGGGCGAGGCTGAAGGCCGGTCCCAGCGAGCACCATGGCGGCCGCCCTGGGAGCGGGCGGCGGAGCAGGCGCCGGAGGTACGTGGGGCCGGCGGCGGGACGAGGCCGGGCCGCGGGGCGGGTGCGGGCCGGGCCTTCCCGCCTGCGGCCGACGCGGCCCTCGCCGGCCCGACCCTGCGTCCGGCCCATTCAGTCCTCTCCCCCGCCTTCCTTCCCCATTGTCATCCTGCCCTGTCCGCGCCTCCTCTTCCCCGGTGTGCGGTCCTTGGTCAGCGGGGACCTCTGTGCTTTCTCCCGGCCTGCGGCGTGCCTGAGGGCCTAGGCCCGGCGGCAGTGTTGGCGGGCGCTGCGCGGCCGAGCTGGCCTGGTGTCCCCGGGCGCGGAGAGCGCCTCCCGCCCCCCGTGCTAGTGTCAGTTGGGGAGAGCGGGGCTCCTTGCTATTGGGTGGTTAGGGTTGCGGGCTGTCCTGACCGCTTTAGATTGATTTCAAGCCCGTTGTAAAAGCATATATAACTAAAAGACTCAAGCTTGTGAAGGAATGTGTAACAACAGCATGGCACTCTGGAGAGTAGAAAGTCTTGAGAGATGGGTTCAGTTCATCCTTCTGTTTTACATTAACTCATTCGTAATAAAAATCCGTTTTGTGTTTTGTGACCAGCATCTTGTAAAGGTAGAAAACGAGACCAAAAAAGGTTCATACATTGAGTCAGTTCCTTTGGGTAGTTTCTCTTGTTTTGCAAGCGTAAACGATCTTGTTAGACTACCAATCTCTGACAAATTTTAGGTAGGATCACTTTCAGGTAAAATCACATCTTGTTGATTGAGAGGTTTTTTTGTTTGTTTTTTTTTAAGATGTAGAAATATACTGGAAAGTGAATTTTTAAATGCTTGTTTTGAAAACTTAGATAAAGGAGACATGGTGAAGTATGAACAATAAAAGCGTTTGAGATTAGTTCTTGTTATTGAAACATGCAAAAACCATTCTAGTGTATACTCTAGAGTTTTTTTTTTTTTAGTAAATGTTTGTAGATTGTACATTCCAATAATCCTGCTTAGGAATTTTGTCCCAAATATCGAAACACTTGTATGACACAATGGGAAAAAAAACGAGATTAAATGTGAGAATGTCACTTCTGTCCATATGATTTAGTATATGCCACTCTTCTGTCAGTTTGAGTAGATGGTGTTTTGCCTGTTAGATCTCAGGCTTTCTACTTATATTTTTAAAATATATGGCTAACCTACCTTTCTTGGTTACCTTCTGAGAGTCAGAATTATGTGTTCTATGTCATTCCCAGTGGAGTCTGGGAAATCCTGTCTCAAAACTTTTCATTAAAAAGACTAAAGTGTTTTTACATGTTATTCTTTTTCCACTAGTGTACGGTGGAGCGTTCCTGAGGCTGTATGACATATGAAGACATTACTCTGATGACTAGTGGAATGTATGCTTCTGTGTTCTTTTTAGTTTCTCATTTTTACTTTCTAAAATAATAAATATGAATGAATATAATCCATATAAACAAAAGCTTTTTGGGGTCCTCAATAATTTCAAGGCCAGAAAGCTCGAAAATTGTTATTTTAGAGGAATAGGTAGGCTTTATTCTTGATGTTTTGGAGCTTTTCTTTCCAGTTTGTCACAAGTGCCAGGTTTCCTATTGCTCTTAGAGTCAAGCCAAACTCCTTGCCAAGGTTTATGAGTTCTATATGACTTGGTCCCAGCCTGCTTCACCAAGATCTTGTGTGAGTGTTGTCCTTACCCGGGAAGTCCATTGCATGAACTGTACCCTCTGTGTGGACTGCCCTTGCCCTCTTAGCAGCGCTGACTCCTGATCCAGTGGGTCTCAGGCTCCTGAGGGAGGCCTTCCATGAGAAATTATTCTACCTGAAGTTATGTCCATCTCCTGCTTAGGTGCCTCCCTCCTCTTCATTCTGTGCCACCCTTGTTTGTTTTCTTCAGAACTTTGAATTTGTAATTTCCTTAATGTTATTTGCTTGTTTTTTAAATCTGCCTCCCCCATTAGCTAGTAAGCCCCATGAGAACAGGACGCTGCCTGTTTTTACCATGCATTCCAAATGTTCCTGGCATATAACATGTCTTCAACAAATATCTAACGAATGAATTAATGAAATGTTCCCTTTATGAATCTGAAAAAAAATCTACAGTTGTGTTCTAAGTTATGTTAGTCAATTCCATATTATTTACCTATGTAACTGACTAAACCATGTAAAATTGGAGAAATATTTACATTGTCTGGCAATACCTCCTTTTAAACCTCAGATTGCTTATTTGGCAACTGAGTTTAGCATCTGGTTTAGCACTGTGGGCCCCAACTCCCAGGCCACGCATCACTGCCTGAGCTGGCACCCTCCATCCTGTCTGTGGAAAAATTATCTTCCATAAAACTGGTCCCTGGTGTCAAAAAGGTTGGGGACTGCTGGCTAGCACGGTGGCTTTCAAACTTTTAAATTATAGTCCACCTTAAACTGGTTGACATTGTGATTTAGTACACATTAAAAATAAGAAAAAAATTCATTAACAGTACTAGTCCATACCGTGTTTCCCCCAAAATAAGACAGGGTCTTATATTTATTTTTCCTCAAGATGACACCCTATGGCTTATTTTCAGGGGGATGTGTTATTTTTTTAAGTACGGTACACCAATCTATATTTATTCAAATACAGTTAAGTCGTCTTTTTCTGGTACATCATCATCACTCTCCAAACCCCGAATTCCATCCTGAATTTCTTGTGACTCTATTTCCTTTAGAACCATTGGCCCCAATCTCTCATGTCAGACAATAGAGCTCTCATGGGGCAGATGAGAAGGGCTGCTCGTCTTTACTGCTCCAAGATGAAATGCATGGGTTGTGTAGATATGCTGCGTAGCCACGTCCATCACTAGGTCTTATTTTTGGGGTAGAGCTTATATTGCGCAAATGCTTAGAAATCCTGCTAGGGCTTATTTTATGGGTAGGTCTTATTTTTGGGGAAACATGGTACTGTACCATGCACTCTATTTTCTGTTTCATTGCAGTATACTGCTGGTTGTGATCTAAATTAATTTCGTAGTTCACTAGATGTTCAAGATCATCAGTTTGTAAATCATTGGCCTCCTGTATACTAAATGGTTAATGTTTACTGAGTAAAATGGATCTTGGCTATCCAGAATGTTGCCCAAAACTAATGGAATCTCTAGGTAGCCAAGATAGATGTCACAAAGTGTAGGTACGCACAAGAGTGTTTGCTTGGGCTGTCTCTGGAAGATAACTTACTTTTAACTTTAGATACAGTTCTGATAAGTCATTTACTGTTGCAGCCAAATAATAAGGTTGGGGAAATGGAACTGCTAACCTTACTGATAGAATCACACCTGTTATGTATTAGAGACTGAAAATAAAAACATAAATGCAAAAGCATGTTATTTTGGCAAAGGAGCAAGTAGTTTAATAACTTGCTAGATCTTCCAGTGCTTCCTTGTACAATACAAAGTAAAAACAAAATATCAGCATATAAATCTTAACAAAATACCACCAACCTAATGTTTATGTAATGACATACAGTTCATAAAGCAGTTTATGAACTGGTTTATGAGTGAGTGCATTATCTCACATAAGATTTACAACGGCATTCTTGGGCCTTTGATATTCTGATTTTGTAGGTGAGGAAAAACAGAAATGGGTGCTTATAAATTTTTGTTTTCTAGTTGAATCTTTCGAAGAAAAAGTTTTTAATGGAATTTTTCAAACATACCCAATAGTTGAAAGAATAATGAATCCATATACCCACCACTCAACATTTATCAACATTTTGGCAATTTATTTTCATGTATTCCCATTGCCCACCTCCACCTTTGTGTGTATTAAGCAAATCCCAGGCTTGTAAAATTTTAGAACAAGAATAAACTGTAGAGATGAGGTAGACTCTAGATAATAAACCAGTTCTCTTAATTTGTAGTTGAGAGAAAACTAGCTGAGAGAAGTTCAGTGACCTGACTGTTAGAATGTGAGGTAGACTAGAATTTAGGGCATTGGACTTCATTGTGCTTTCCAGTGTGTCAGTGCAAATCTGTGTCAGTATATAGTAAGGTATGACAGTATGAAGCACAGGGCAAAAGTTTTTCATTTGAAATTGTGAAAATGAAGCAAGTCTTAGTGCTTCAACAGTAAAATTGGTAGGAAATTTGTGATAAACTTTAATCTCTAATGGTACTGGTAAATGAGGTAGTTTTATAGTGATAATTATGTATGTGGAGGTCACTTAATTCTTAATTTTTTCTCCTTCAAGAAAGTCTTTCACACTTAGTTTCTTAGCTTCAAAAGAATTTTGGAAATGGAGGAAAGAATAGACTTTCATTTCAGCCATAAGGACTCTAGCATTTCTTGTAAGGCAGATGTACTAGTGATAAACTCTCTTAGGTTTTATTTATCTGGGAATGTAACTTCTGATGGGTAGTTTGTCAGATACAGTAGAATTCTTGGTTGACAGGTTTTTTTTTTTTCTTTCTTTCAACACTTGAAATATTTTATCCTACCACCTTTTGACCTCCATAGTTTTGGATGAGGAATTAACTGTTAAACTTATTGAGGATCTCTTTCTTGTACTTGACAAGTCACTTCTCTCTGTGCATTCAAGATTCTCTTTCTCTTGATAATTTGATTATATGTAGTGTGTCGTGGTGTGGGTCTCTGAGTTTATCCTGCTTGGAGTGTTGAGCTTCTTGGATATGTAGATTCATGACTTTCATCAAATTTGAAAGTATTTTTTGCCATTATTTCTTCAAATTTTTTTTTCTGCCACTTTGCTTTCTCCTTTTGGGACTTCCATAATGCACAGGTTGGTTCTCTTAATGTTGTCTTCCAGTTCCCTTAGGCGGTGTTCACTTTTATTCATTCTTTTTTTTTTTCCTCCTGCTTTTATGACTGGGTAATTTCAATACTTTCCTGTTTATTTACATGCCTCAGTTTGGGGACTAAAAATTGGACATTTTGAATATTGTGGAAATTTTGGAAATCACAATCTCCGTACTCTGCTGGGTTTGTTGTTTCTTCTGGGCTTCAGTGTTTGGTTTTTTAATGAC